ACTCAGAAACTATGGGGTGGGGCCCAGCAGTCTGTATTTCAATAAGCCTTCCAGATGATTCTGATGCATGATAAGATTTGAGAGCCAGTGGCAGGAATATACAAGTGTGTGTGTACATATAAACATAGGTGCATATGTGTACATAAATAAGTCAGTTCTGCTATAATGCAACACATCACTGCACTATGCAGAGCTGTGCAATAAAAGCTGCAAGGCTTATGGGAAAAACGGGGTTAGGCACTCAACAATCAAAACCTTTATTGGTGACACAAGAAAACAAAAGCTAGGAGCCTAATAAAAACAGTAGCACAGTTTATACACGTTAAATGGGTAAATACACAAATGCTACAATAAATATGACACTTTTTCTAGAAAAGACCTGAAGTTTGCATGTGGCAGTGGGCACCGGAGGGCTTGCAGCTTACAGTTATAGTGTAGTGGTGGAAGGAGGGTTATTTGAAATTAGGAGGAATGTTTTAACACCAGATTTGGGTGGGTGTGGCTTTTAACATACGCAGTGAATGGAGGTAGTGGTCCGTGTTGGGATGTGTGCTTTCTGTGTATTCCTATGTGGCTCAGTTCATTTGGGTGCACTTTTCTGCTTTCATCTAGCATTTCTTGTGGAGGAAACGGTGCATAAGCAGACGTGAAATTGGAGTTATGCCCTGGTTTTTCTCCTAATGTATCAGTCATGTTGGAACAAATTTGCCTTTTCAATACAAGTGTTATAGCAGAACTGAGTCTATATACCTATACATACATTTTCACATATTACACATAAAAGGACCCCATACATGACCGAATGCTATTTTTTCACTTTAAACTTTTTTACTTGACAATATCTCTTAGAGCTTTTTGTGTATCATCACGTAGTTACTCATTTAGACAAATGGTATTTAAAGCATTAAGAGATGACTAAATTCCTCTCCAAAATGCTTGCAACAATTTACCCTCCCACCAACATACTTTCTATGCCCTGGCCAATGTGACCTATTATCAAAGTTATTAATTTTTCCCAATCCGATAGTTAAATGTCTCTTACCTCTCCTTCCTCCCTCGCTCATATCTCTCATATTCATATACATATATATGTATGTGTGTACACACACACACACACACACACACACACAGATTTGCACTGCGAGGAGATCCTCCCATAAATATACTGATAGAAAAAGGACCTGCTTTAAAAGTGTGAAACAGGTGGTGAAAAAGTGCTGAAATGGGGGAAAAAAGGAAATAAAATGGATATGCAAGAAAACAAGAAAAGCCTATTAAAAAGGGAGAGAAAAAGAAAAAGAATTCCCTTTCCATTTATTTAATGTTTTTACTTTTCTACCTTTGCTAAATACAACTTACCCACTTTATGAGATAAGGTACTGAGTACTAGGTCCTGTTGGGATTTGATCTATCACTCTTGCCAGTTGACATCTCCAAAAATGCAGCTTAAACTGTTAATTCATTCACTTCATCATAACAGTCCTAAGGGCATCACTTTCTTCTGTTGATCAATGTTGGGTCCCTTGGCTCCGAAAAACTGAAATGACACAGCTGATCAGGGGACTGTGATGGCTGTTGCCTGCGAGTCTGGGGCCTCCAACAGCCAATGAAGTAGAAATGGAGGCCCACGCAGGTGTCAGATGTTTTCCTGTAAAGAGGTTGGCAGTGGACACAAATGCTTCTATCTGGGCACATTATGGAAAGCCATAATGATTTAATAAAAAATCACATTGGTTTATGATCATTGTTCTTATTAGGAAATATCATTGCTTTTTTGATGATGTATTGTGAGACACAGCATTTTCTTATCAACACTGTGGTTTGCAGATAGTATATGTAATATATATTTGCATATATATAGAGAGGGTGCCAAAAATGTATGCACATTTTAAGAAAGGAAAAAACTGTCTTAAAATTGTAAGACATATATATATACCGATAACAAATATATACCAATAATATATATACCGATAACAAAATATATACCGATGACAAAAGATGAATACAAGTGACGTTTGACTTCTGTAATGACAAGAGGTGCTCAAAGTGGTTCCCATCAGCGCCCTGACACTTCTGATTTCGGTGAACACTGTTTGGCAGACTTCTGTGGTGGGCACATAAACTGTTCCAACACCACAGCAGAAGAAGCAGGACTCGTTGCTGTGCGAGGCCTCCCGGATCTTCCCTTGTGCACATCACACACAGGAACATGTGTCTCACATTATCACGAATGGGTGCAATTGATAGGAGTGTTGGAGGCTCTGTTGCATACTCATGCCTCCATTGTTGTTGCATTTCCACAATGTTCTCGAATTTCAAAGACCACTTCAAAATGGTCTTGTGCTCTTTGAACAACCATGCTTCTGCCGTTTTCTTTGACTGCCCTGCCTGTTGCATGGTGACACTAGCATTCATTTGATTAACACCATCTTTTGAGCGAACATCATACTACACATTGCTAACTGTAATTCATTCAACTTTGGAAAGTAATACATAGATAACATCTCTTAAAATGTGTATACATTTTAAGAAAGGAAAAAACTGTATTAAAATTACACTGATGGCAACCACTTGTAATTGCAGAAGTCAAACGTGACTTGTATTCATCTTTTGTTATTGGTATATATTGAGTATTACAATTTTGATACACTTTTCCTTTCTTAAAATGTGTATACTTTTTGGATATATATATATATATATATATATATATATATCCCCAAGTCAGAATGACTTACTAAAAGTAACCACCAAAAAAGAGGATGGAATGCTGATGTAAAGATGCCAAAGATACTTAAGGAAATGTAGAAATTATGAAGGTTAATGTGACATTGCCCTTCAAAGTTAGATGCATTTTCCTTTATGTGAAAGCAGCAGGAAGAGAGAACTACTAGCGGGATGCATCTCTGCTTTGCAATTAGGTTTTTGCACCTTTAAATCTCAAACTATGATATTATTAACATATAAAGACTATATATACGAGTTACAGAGAATTAGCATTTTGTTTTAAATTAAGAACTTGCTTTCCTTCTCTCACCCTTCCTCATAGCATCCTATGATGGAGGGGAGGTAGAAATAATGCTGAGAGGGAAGAGCAAGCATTTTAACTGATAAAAGAGCTTTCAGTCTCAAGGGGCCTTGTGGCTCTGCAGCAAGCAAGGACATTGCAGAAGGCATCTTTCTCTCTCTGTTACTATTATTTGCATTCCTAGTTGTGACTTGTAAATGCAGCTCTTAGGATCAACTCAGAGCACTAAATTTAGTGGTGAGTTGAAATGGCAAAGTAAAGCAAAGCATTTCTCCCACTCATCTGCAGCCAGGGCCAGCTACATCATTTGCAGGGCCCAGTGCAAAATAAAATATGGAGGCCCCCTGTTCAGAAAACAGGAAAAAGTACTATTAAAGGTGCTAAAATATAAAGCTTTATTCTCCCTTCCATGGCCTCTCTTTCTCTAGACTTGGCATGGTGTTTTTTTATTTGCTATTTAATGCTGTTGTAAGAAAAATTAAAATTTTAAATCATTAACATAATTTTACTGTTCATCTTTATATTGTGCAATGCCAGTTTGAAATGCAAATATTTCCCCATGTATAAGATGCACCCTTTTCCGAAAACTTTGGGGTCTAAAAACTGGGTGCGTTTTATACAGTGATTGTATGAGCGCAAAAACAAGCGCAAAAAAAACGGGAAATGCAAGTAAAAAAAATCTACAACCACTGTATAAGACACACCCAGTTTTTAGACCCTGAATTTTTCAAAAAAGGGTGCGTCTTATACATGGGGAAATACAGTAAGCACTTTTAATTTGCATATGGAATCACCAAAATTATAGTTTGTATTTTGTAGCTTGTACATGCGTATGTATTTTGTTCTCACCAAAACAGTGGAAACGCTGCACAAGACTAACTCAGCTGTTTTTCTTTCACTTCTTAATATGCATACATTCTACAACACTATCTACCTTTGGCTTACTGATGAATAAAGGATTGGAAGGAAAAGAAACTATGGGTTGCCCTATCTTTCCCGTTCCTTCTATGTCATCATTTTCAGTGTATGTGGTTAGCTGATATAGGGAAGTAATAGGAGTAAGAAAGAGCCGAGTGGCTCAGTTGGTTAAGAGCTCGCTGAAGAGTGCGAGCTCTGAGCAACAGCGGTTCGAGTCCCCGCCTGGGCTGAGCAGCCGCTGAGCTGCCAACAGGTGGCAGGATGGCTCAGCAAAAAAAAAAAAATAGGAGTAAGAAAAAGTGTGACAGGGTTCCTTGGTTATTCGTGTTTCTTACAGTGCTATTGCTGCTTTTTTGTGATCAAAACAAATTCTAGTTCCAATGGAAAGAGCCCACTTGGGGCTGTGAGAGCCCCCACCTCCTCAGTTCCAGATGTAACATGCTTACCTTATATTTGTTTTGAGTCTTGATGAACTCCCACACATTGTGAGTCTGCCGGTTTCCTGTGTTCCTGGTGAGCATCTAGGAGCTGTGGACACACATATCATGCATGGCTCCTTTGCTCCCAGGCATGCATCCTTGTCCCCTTGGATTCCACTTACAAAATCACATTCAAAGATAAAATTATTAAGAGTTGCAAGACAATAACAGCAGAGCATTAAATCAAGAGCAGGGTCCTTCTGTTTGGGGGGCCCTGTGTGACTGCACGGGTTGTGTGTCCATGAAGCTGGCCCTTTCTACATTAGGGGAAACTGCTGGACAGCGGAAAGCCTCCTGCACATGCTGTGCACGGAGGAATCCAGTTTGTAGCAGGCTGGACGCTGCCACTAGTGTATCCATGCAAAATGGTTTCCTTGCAACTGATGTAATGTACTTATTTCAAATTCAGTTGAATATCATCTTAGAGACAGTTAGTTGGATCTCTGAGAGGGCACCCACTTCCACAAGCAGTACTTTTCAGATGGGCCTTTGAAATTTCTAAAGCTAAAGATGGTGGAACATTACTCATCATCAAATCAGTCTCTATGTCCCTTATGTTTTGTTTGTCTTTCTCCCAGGATTTCCAGCAGGAGAGCTGCAGAAGCCTTTCTTTTGGGGAACAGAATATCCTCGGTAAGTTACTATGTAAAGAAAACAGTTATTGACACGGAAGGAAGAACTTGCTGCTTTGGTAGATCACAGAAGGCAGAAAAACAAAGCCAGCGGTGGTTCAGCAAAAGGAGAGCATGGAACCTGGCAGGGCTGCCCCCACTCTCACCATTTTCGGTACTTGTTTTCTGATTCTTATTACCAGGGTGTATGACTGGGCAGGAAGGCCAGCAAACACACAGGTAGCTTTTGTTTTTATGCATTTATTCACTTGCACATTGACTCATACTACAAATAATTAGGACTTGAAGGATCACTGTGATTTGAGTTGATAGTGATGGGATTAAAACCATTCCAGAGAGAAGAAACAATGTGAGAAAAGGAAAGAAACATACTTATTGAATAGCAAAGAGTCTAGTTTGGCTGGTTCAAATGGTATATGAAGGGAAGTCTCGGAATAGAAGCCTAAAAAAGGTTGATATTTGATATTGGAGAGCTCTGCCTGCCAGGCAAAGAGCCTGGACGTTAATAGGCATAAAACATATTGAAGTTTTTGAGCAAGTAAAGGTAACCAAGTTTGTCTTTAGAAGGGCCGGCCCAGTGGCTCAGTTGGTTAAGAGCTCGCTCAAGAATGTGAGCTCTGAGCAATAGTGGTTTGAGTCCAGCCCAAGCTGAGCAGCCGCTGTGCTGCCAATAGGTAGCAGGATGGCTCAGCTAAAAAAAAAATTGTCTTTAGAAATATAGTAGTAGCTATACAATAGTTCAGCAATTGACAATGTCTGGAATTAGGGATATCAGTTTAAAGGCCATTAATAACAACAGGTTGTAGACTTACACAATTCAGAATTTTCATATATAGTGGGAATTCATATAATGTTCATTGTCAGTAATATCACCACTTTTATTATGTGCCTTTACTTGGTCTGGTTCTTTAATGCACAGAAAATTTAGTCTTGATTTTAGAAGTTTAGTCTCTTGTGTTTTGGTTTGGATAAATGACAATTTACATATGACTCTGTAGGTTAAAAAGATATGGGGTCATCTAGAAACAAGAGAAGTACGGTGGAAATCATTTGATTTGGGCTTCCCCAGAAGAAGATCCCGTGACAAGGATTCAAGTGCAAGCAGTTCTTTTGGGAGGTGACACTAGGAAACACCAGCAGGGGAGTGGGGAAGCGAGACAGGGAAGGAAGGAAGCCAGTAAATTGTGTTGCAGGAGTTTTCTATAGCTGCCATAATGAATTATCACAGACTTAGTGGCTTAAAACAATGTAAATTTATTAGCCTATAGTTCTGTAAGTCAGAAGTCCAACCTGGGTCTCACCAGGCAAAACACAGGGTGTCGGCAGGGCTGTATTCCTTTCTGGAAGCTCTAAGGAAGAATCTATTTCATTGCCTTTTGTAACCCATATTGCTTGGCTCAAGGCCCTCCTTTTCCATCTTCCTAACTCACAAAGTTGCATTTCTCTGACCATTCATCTGTAGTCACATCTTCTTCTGACTGTCCTCTTTTGCCTTCTCCTCCACTTTTAAGGACCCTTGTGATAACATTGGGTACACTCAAATATCCAGGATTGTCTCCCTATTTTAAGCTCAGCGGATTAACAACCTTAATTCCCCTTCACCATGTAATAGCGTACTCACAGGCTCTGGGGATTAGCACATGGACATCTTTTGGGGGCCATTATTCTGCCTACCACACATCTGTTACAAAGCCACTTACCACTGTGGGCAACTGGGGCTCAGTTCTGCTGTGGAGCTGTAGAATATGCTTCAGTGTGATCCCACCTCAGGGGCAAGGGACCTGGGGTATTTATCCTTCAGCTCACCTTCCATCATTGACTGAGGGCTTCTACCAGGAGTATCAACTCTCTGGCATTGCCCAGTCTAGGCCAAGAGGGCTCTGGTGGCCGGAGAAAGTCCTTAAGCAGCTATAGACAGTCCCCAACGTACAATGGTTCAACTTATGATTTTTCAACTTTACAATGGTGTGAAAGTGATACACATTCAGTAGAAAACCTACTTCAAATTTTGACCTTTTCCTGGCCTAGCAATATGTGGTACGATACACTCTCGTGATGCTGGACTACAGCAGCGAGCTGGAGCTCCCAGTCAGTCACGAGATCACCAGGGTAAACAACTGATAATCTGCAGTGGATTCACTGTTTCAGATGATTTTGCCCAATCGTAGGCTAATGTAAGTGTTCTGAGTACGTATAAGGTAGGTTAGGCTAAACTGTGATATTCAGTAGCTTAGATATATTAAATGTATTGTCGACTTACGATGTTTTCAACTTAAAATGGGTTTATTGGGATACAGCCCCACTGTAAGTGGAGGAGCACCTGTAGTTTCAGGTGCTAGCAGCTGGGAGCTGTTGCATTGGTGTGCTCGAAAATGGTGAGTGCTGAGGGGACAGGAGCAGGCATCAATGAAGCCTAGTGTAGGAAAGCACCATTGTCAGCCTAAATGAAAATGGAAATGGTTTCTATCGACCAAATCCATTAATATCATCCCCGGCCTCAGCTGCATACTTTTCATTACTGTTTAGATATTTGGAATCAATTGTCCCTATTGTTAAGATTAGAAATCTGTATATATTACATAAAATTAGAGGTTTAGGCTACATATTCATTCTCTAAACTCCCTTCAAACTAAAAATGTCCTAGAATTCTTAGATTCTGCTTATCATTAGCAATTTAACTGAGCTTCTACTATTGTGGTTATATACCTGGAGACTTGGAAATAGTCTAACCAGACTAACCAGGTTTTGAAGTTATTGATTCAAAGAATTTGTTTATTGAGTCCATGAGATGATTTTCTGATACAAAAATCAAAATCATAGAAACTTAGGAAATAATGTTAGTATCTGTTAGTTCAATCTTATGCTGAGCCACATTTGAGCCTTGAGTAGGAGAGAGATTTGCATTATTTCCCTAAAGAGTTCTATGTCCTCTATTAAGATACCTACTCTGTGAATAATTATTAAGCATCTTTTGAGTCCTCGGCATTGGAAATAGGGAGACGCTGGAGACATGGGAATCACAGCCCAGTGAGATAGATTCCCACATATCCATCTGTTCTGTTTGGATCATCTCCAGAACCAGCTAGTAGGTATCCTTTCTGCTTATACTAGTCATCTTAGCCCTTTCCCAAGTTTTGGGTCTAATTATGGGGACATCAGTAAGCTGAATTGTTTCCAGAGGAGAGAATCGGGAGTGTAAATGGCCTAAGACAACATATCTCTAAGTGTGGATTCCATGAAGTAGTAATAGCGGTATGTCATCCTCCCTTTCCCTTTATTTGGAGAATCATAATACTTAGCAGCATAAAAATTCCCAAGAAGTTCTGTAAGAAAGAAACCTATGTAGGGCCAGCTCAATGGTGCATTGGTTAAGAGCTGGCTTGGGACGCCAGAGAGCCCTGGTTTGGAGCCCACATATGAGGGCCAGTGACACTGCCCTCTATAGCTAAGATGCTGAACAACAGCTCAACCTGGAGCTGGGCTGCCGTATGAGTCGCCAGCGCCGGCGATGTCTTAGGCTACAGTCACTGCTGCAGTGGGTTGCCATGGGCTACCATGTGTAGCCAGCAGCCGCCGTGAGCAGCCGTCCAGAAGCCGGTGACTGATCTGCCTTGCCCGGGAATAGCGCAGTGATGGTGCCAACTTGGGCCAGTGAAGCAATGTCCTCCACAACTAGACTGAAGAACAAAAGGACAGCAACTTGTCTGTTCCCCTTTCTCGATTCCACAGCGCTGTTCTCATCCCCCAATTCCCCAATAAAAAAATCTTAAAAAAAAGAGAAACCTATTTAAATGTGATTAACCCATTCTTTTTTCTAAATTCCTGCTTCCCCAATGGTTTTGGAAATGCTGGTCTAGTATTCATGACTGAAGAAAAAGTTGAAAGAACTGGAGAAGAGAATACTTTGAGGAAGAACCTTGTAACTTCACATTTTTTGAAGGAAAGTTAAGGTGGCAGAATAATTTTTATATTCAGGGGGTCAAAGGGTGTTTGGCTAGAGACTACGCTACACCAATGGATAAAAGACACAGGAAAGAGATTCTAGATCAACGTTAGGGAGAGCTGTTTTATGGAGAAATACCTGAAGAGAGAGTGGTCCACCTGAGAAGGAGGTGAGCTCCTGGCTATTGTAAAAGCCCGAGGAGAAGTCTTAGGACCTTTTGAACAGGTTTTTATAGAGGAGGCCCATGCCTCTGCTGTGAAATAGAACTAGAAGACCTTAAAGCGACTTCCAACGCTGAGATTTTTTTGAATTTTCATTTCAGGCTTAATGTTGCCCTTTTATGATGACCGCATGAGATTATGGTTGCTCCAGACAGCACTATGGTTGATTCCTTATTAGCAGTGAACCCTGTGCAGATGTTAAACCCATCGGGTAGTAAGAACAAAAGAGAAACTGAGTAGGTGGAAAAATTGGTGTCTTCCCCATTTTATTTTTGAAAGGCTAGATTTTCTCTGCAAGGGTCTTCTTGCTTTTGGTCAGCCAGACATAGTTTAAAAGGCACATGAGTTTGTTTATTTTTATGACACGCTAATTTAAACAATGCCCATTGATAAAATGGAAGATGTGAATTTAGTATTACGAAACATTATCATTTTAAGGATTAGTCATATAAAATAACTTTTTCTTTGTCTTCTGTCCAAAGGACTGCAATTATGTAACTGAGAATTGGAAGTTACGATGATTCAATAGTTTTATGAAATTCTCTGTTACCTTTGCAAACAGGAAGCTCATTGGAGCCGTCCCTCTTAAGGGACACTTATTGCCAAGCAGTTCCTATAAACTTCCATTGTTCATCCCTTAAATCCATCCAGTCAACAGCATTGACCAAGGCTGTAGAGGACACAGTACGATTTTCAGGGCTGAGAGGTTTGGAAAAAAGGAAATGTTACAGGCTGCAGTGATAGCTACTGCTGCAAAAATTAGCACTATGTAAAATTACAAGTTTGTCCCACACTGCTATGATAGCTCTATGATTGAAATGCATAATTTTACTTCCTTAGTGAAGGTTTGCAATGATGGAAAAACAGTAGGAAGCATTTTTTCAAATGCAAATTACCTTGCAGGAAAGAAATAACAAAGGAAAGAATTGCCACCAAGGGGAAAAATTAAATCTTATAAATCTTACAGCACTTCCTTGGGTATAGTTGAGACAAACAATTAGCATGTTAAGGATCATTATGTCCTGTAATAACATGTTGCTTCAAAAATTCTCATTCCTTCCGCTTATGGGTCCTATCTATTTGCTGGGATACTTTGATGTTGCATGTCAGGAAGTAACTGTGAAATATTTTTAGCATAATTGCAAGTCTCAGGAAGTATCCTCATGACAAGGATTTTACATCGTCTATAATCCTCTTGTACACATTAAATGACAAATAGGTTCCATATAGATCTGTCACTTGCATGAAATAGTAAAGTTAATTAATCAGTTAGTTAAATCATTGTTACTTTCTTACTGTGGACTAGGTACAGAGAATTTAGCAGCAATCAAATAGATAAGGATTTGACCTTCATGGAATTTGTAGTTGAGAGAGAAGATTCCAGACATACATTTTTGGAAGTTCCCTTATTAGTTTCTTCACATATCATTAATATTCTTTGTTTCAGTTATTTATTGCTATTTAACAAAGCATTGCCAAACAACCACTATTGACATGATTCTGCAATTTGGGCTGGACCCAGCCGAGATGGCTTGTCTCTGTTCTATGGAGTGTTGGCTGGGCAGTTTGACCCGGGCCAGAGGTTCTAAAATGACTTCACTCACAGGTCTGCTGTCCCAGCTGGGCTGGCTCACATGGCTGGGCCCTGGCTGGGCCTCTCTCTCTCTTCCTTTAGAAGTCTCTCAACTTTTGATGTCTCTTGCTTGCTTCACTTGGCCTCTCTCTGTCCAGCTGATTAGTCCAACTTCTTTACATTGCAGCTGACTTCCAAGAGGGAAACATAAAAGGAAGCTACAAGGAAGGCCTCTCAAGGCCTCGGCCCAGAAGTCCTATCCATTGCCTCCCATTGCTTTCTGTTGGTCACAGCAAGTTCCCAGGTGCATCCAGATTCAGGGAAAGGAAATAGATCGCCTCTTGATGGGAGGAGGGGCACACGCATTCAGGGCGTGTGGAATTGTCTGTTGTCACCTTTGTAGGTCATTGGCCATATGCTTCTTGGGAGGTGAAGAGAAATGATCAAATGTCTTTTCCAAATGTGGTTAAGGCTTCCCAGCCTTTGCCATTCCTTTGTGAGCTTGTCTGTCACAGAAGCAGAGGAACGTGACTACCTTTGAAAGCAGAGTGATCCCTTTTAATCTCTGCTCTATTTCTTTTTTATGACTACATTTGGAAAACAATTTAACTTCTAAGTCTATAGTGATTTTTCAACAGGCTCTCAGATAAAAAATAAATGGTGTGTTTACTGACAGGAGCTTTTCAAACCCTGCTGTTGCCTTGGCTGTTTGTAAATATAAGCTAGAGCTAGAGCAGATATAGAATCATCGAAACCTTAGGGCTGGAAGGGATTTTAGAAACCATCCCTTTTACATCCCTAATTTCACAGGGTAGGAAAACTAAAGCCCATACGTGGTTGAAACTGGAGGCCAAACGAGTCCGGGGCTCATGCTGCCTGCACCACTTCAGCCAATAGACGGACACAGGAGTTGAGCTACAGGATAAGTGTTTATTATCAGAGCAGCGGTGGTCTGAGAAGGTAGCGCGTTCACACCTCCAAAAACTGCCTTCACATTCTCAGACCAGCCTGGGGTATTTAAGGGGAAATCTGGGCATTCCTCCAGGGGCTACGTGATGGTTCTGGGGGTCTGCATGGAGCCTTCTCTGTGGCGATGTGGCTCTCCAACGTGCTCATCAACCCAGGAGCAGTGATGACAGTAACCTGGAAAGAATGCTAGGCCATAGAGATTGTGATCAGTAAGCATGGGGGCATTAATTATAAGTTTCAGGGTAATTTTCTAAAACAAGGAACTGGGACAGGGGACATTTTGAGCTCCGGCTGCAGGGAGATAATCTATTACTAAGCTTTAGGTCAAGGAAAGGTGAGGCCGGGGATGCGCCAGGCCTCTACTATGGGGGTCCCAATAGGACCCTGTTTCAGTGGTCATAATATCAATGTTAGAATTTATATTTTCTTTGTCCATTTCAATGGGAAGGGTGTGTTTAGATTTTTTTTTTTTTACAATTTTGTGGGTGTGATTATTTGAAAACAGATTATCTTGGCTTTTCATTGGAAAACAATGAAGGATTATGCTCTGAGGTACATGCTTGTAATTTTCTCCAAATTATCTATTTATGCTATAGATCTCTGAGTTATGGTGCTATAGGAGTAATTGTTGGACACGAATTTACACACGGATTTGATAATAATGGTAAGTACTGGTTCATTGTATAAGCTGCTGCTTTTAGGATAATGTTGACCATATGGATGTTAATTGTTGCTATTGTTTTTGCATAGTGGCATCTTCATAGATGAAAGATAATCCAAAGCAGTATGATTGCTGATGGAAAAATTTTTGCCATGTCTTACAGTGATAGCTTGCAATAAATAAATAATTGTTCCCATTGGTGATGGGATAGAACGATGAAAAAATCACCTAGTAATTTCAATGAAGTTAGCTTTGCATCCAGATCAGGATTGCTGTACCTGTCACAATAATTATAGGAATTACTTCATAGCTTCTTCCCTTTGTCACTTCTTTATTCACCATAGTAAGATGCTCTCCCTGGAAGTGTGAGCTCTGTTCTGAAGATGATTATATGTGTTGCCAAATGAGGACTCAGCGAGTTAGGTCTCTGGAGCTTGGCTGACTGACTCCTTCATACTAGTTCAAGGATTATGCAATGCTTAATCTTTTTTTCTCGATGCTGGCATGTATTCAGAATTATTTTTTAAAAGGCTATGCTGTCCTAATAATGCATAATAGAGGATATGTTATGTACCCTGGTGACATTTAAGCAACAGGAAAGAGCAGAATATGACATAAACTAAAGAAATGATCACCCTTTGAGAGTTATCATTTTTAATCAACATTCCTTTACCTTTGGAGCATTACTGGAAAACTATGTGAAACCTCCAAAACTTATGAATTGGTAGCAAATTATGATCATATCTACATCCACACAATGGTTTACAGGCAGACTTAAGAACTCGGCTGGCCCAAGACAACACTTCCATATCTGTGGTATCTCCAACATCCCTTCCTGGATACCTACCCCAGGGGCCCAAGACCCTTTTGGTCCTTCTCCTTCTGGACAATTCTGCCTGTATTCCCACCAGCCCTTCCTGAATCACTTAGGTTTGTTGTTCCCCTGGCCTCCCCTCCCTGTTAAAATGTAGCTGCCTTGTAGTCATCTGAATCTCTAGAGCTATACTTGCTGTACTTGCATGTTTGGTTTATCTGAGAGAATAGTCTTAGCTAAGAAACAAAAGCCAGTAGTGCTCTCTTGGTTCCGGGCCTTTCTTCCTGGGAAATTTAAGTACAGTTCTCCCTCAGGATCTTCTGGAGGCTTTCAGGATTGTCTCTCAAAGGACAGAATCTAAAGATGGCAATTTCACTCTGTCACCTGTACATAGAATAGTACATTGCACATATAAGGACATGCCCAGTAACTATTTAATGATTGGTTGGCTAATGGGCAGAGGACAGTGACTCTCTGCTCTCCCAGGGGGCTGGTCGCAGCACCCATCCTTATTGAAGAGCTTTGGATTGTTCCAATTAACACTTTTGCTTAGGGGACTTGCTTGTAAACCCAGTGAAGAGTTCTCTGCATAATTAAATTTAAAGCATTAGTTACCTTGAGTGATTATGGACGATATTCCAGATACACCCAAACTGTTCTTTGAAGGGTGTAGAGAAAGTAAAGAGTAAGCTGTAGCAAAAAAGCATGCATACCTAATCTTTTTTTCCATTATGTTTGGGAGATTTCCATTCCTGTTCCAAGCTCTCTTTTTACAGCAACCTTTCTTGTCAGAGCAGGACAGATGGGCCTTCCATCCACACTGATGGCTGTGGAATGATTCATAACAGAGGTTTTATGTGTCTCTCGGCTCCTGGCAACTTGCAGGAAACACGTTCCTATAGGACTGAGTCAGGGGCTGTGGTTGCAGGGTGTGAATCACTCATTGGGGCTGCTCCTATGGATCATTTGGAATTTCACTGGTCGTGGAGCTCTGATTCCCTCCATGGGCTTTCTGAATGAAGCCATTTCATTTCACAATCCAGAGAACATTTTGGGTCAGATCAGGTGAAAACAAAGAATCCAAGGTGGGTTAGGAATGCTGTATGCCATAGTTGGTGAATCTTAGTTTCAAAATGCTCTTTGTTGCTTAGAAGGAAAGAACTTCCTCAAACCTCTTTCTCCTCCCCCCACCCTTTTTTACAATTAATCTGTGACACTGTAGAGAAGGCAGGAGCTGTTCCCAGGAGTGATCCCTGCTGCTGGCACTGCTGTTTCAAGTCTCATCTAAGCAAGGGATAAGGAAGATGAAGAAGTTCGTTTCCATAAATAATACAAATATCGTTTAACTTTCCTTTTTGCTAGGCAGAAAATATGATAAAAATGGAAACCTGGATCCTTGGTGGTCAGTTGACTCAGAAGAAAAGTTTAAAGAAAAAACAAAGTGCATGGTTAACCAGTATAGCAACTATTACTGGAGGAAAGCTGGCTTAAATGTGAGTATAACGGGTGAAGGGGGCACCTTGTGGGTCATTTTTTTCTCATTTGGACATTAGCTTGCTTTAGATCATTGATTCTTAAAGTGTGGTTCCTAGGCCAACAGCATCAGCCTCCCCTGGGAACTTATTAGGAGTTGAAATTCTTTTTTTTTTTTTAGTTTACTCACATTTGGGGAATAAGATTGTGTCAAGACTTTGTGCTGTGTTTTTAGGAAAGTAGTTGAAATCTAAGTTTATTGTTGTCCAAGGGATTTATGCATTAACTTATAGAGACATGGATTTATTTATAGTCATCTTATAGCCACAGGGTGGCAAGGGACAGATTCTACCTCTAGTTCCTGAATAAGACATCTAGTCACCCTTAACTTTGGTTTTTTTTTTTTTGATACTGAAACATCGAACAGCAGCCTTATAAAACCTCTAACCACCTCCTGTAATGACTAGATGAAATTATGTAGGTTTTCACCATTTATGGCTCAAATATTTCCATGAAAAATATCAAAGGTGTGCTCCCATTTTAGCCAATAGTCACAATTATCAAGAGCTAAACTGTTCCTTCAACCGGTAGGGTAGCAGTAGTGTCAGGGAGCTGCTGCTGAGAATCAGTGGCCTATTTATTTTTTTCCTTTAAGAATATTTTCTTATTTAATTGAAACTAAAAACAAAACAAAAAACCCCCACCCCACCCCCTGGCAACCACCAATCTGTTCTCTGTATGAACTTTTTTTTTTTAATTTCACCTATAAGAGTGATCATATGGTATTTATCTTTCTCTGTCTGACTTATTTTCACTTAGCATAACGCCCTCGAGGTCCATCCACGTTGTTGCAGACATCAAGATTTCTTTCCTTTTTATGACTTAGTAATATTCCATTATATATATATATATATATATATATATATATATATACACACACACACACACACCTATATATATATGTATATATATATATCTCACATCTGCTTTATCCATTCATCCACCAGTGGACACTTAGGTTATTTTCATATCTTGGCTATTATAAATAATGAACATAGGGGTGCATATATCTTTTTGAATTAGTGTTTTAATTTTCTTTGGATACATTCCCAGAAGTCGAGTTGTTGGATAATATAGTAGTTATATATTTTATTTTTTTGAGAAACCTCCATATTTTTTTCAATAGTAGTTACACCAATTTGCATTCCCCCTAGCAGTGCACAAGGGTTCCCTCATATCTACATCCTCACCAACACTTGTTATCTTTTGTCTTTTTGATGATGGCCATTCTGACAGGTGTGAGGTGATATCTCATTGTGGTTTTGATTTACATTTCCCTGGTCATTAGTGATGTTGAGCATCTTTTCATACACCTATTGGCCATCTGTGCATCTTCTTTGGAGAAATGTCTATTCAGATCCTCTGCTCATTTTTAAATTGGATTGCTTTTGTTTTTTGCTATTGAGTTGTAGGAGTTCTTTCTATATTTTGGGTATTAGCCCTTTATCAGATATATGATTTACAATTATTTTCTCACATTAAATAGATTTCCTTTTCATTTTGTTGATGGTTTTCTTTGCTGAGCAGAAGCTTTTTAGTTTTATGTAGTCCCACTTATTTATTTTTGCTTTTGGTGTCAGATTCAAAAAATTATCATCAAGATCTATGTCAAGGGGCTTACTGCCTGTTTTCTTCTAGGAGTTTTATGGTTTCAGGACTTATGTTCAAGTCTTTAATCCATTTTGAGTAAATTTTTGTTTTTGGTGTAAGATGATGGTCCAATTTTATTCTTTTGCATGTGGCTCTCCAGTTTTCCCAACCATTTGAAGAGACTTTCCTTTCCCATTGTATATTCTTGACTCCTTTGTCATAAATAAATTGATCATATAGACATGGGTCTATTTCTGGACACTCCATTCTATTCCATTGATGTATGTGTCTGTTTTTATGCCAGTACCATACTGTTTTAATTACTATAGCTTTGGAATATAGTTTGAAATCAGGGAGTGTGATGCCTCCAGGTTTGTTCTTTCTCAAGATTGCTTTGGCTATTCGGGGTCTCATATATAGTGAGATAAATTTCAGGATTACATATTCTATTCAGCTGATGTATTTGTTGATTTCTGTACCAATGTCTTATTGCTATGGCTATGTGAATTGTTCTGGTCTGTCAATACAAGCTATCTCTCACTGTTCTTCTTTTATGTTTTGGGACATTCTCATGCAAATATGCTTTTGTATATGCTCTAAGACCATTTTACCCATTCTCCCCACCCCAAAAAATAAAATTCCATTGGGATTCTAAATTAAATCACGTTAAATATATGTTAAATGTATGGAATTGACATTTTTATTATATAATCTTGTTTAAAAACATTGTATGCTTTTCCATCTGTTTGGTTCTTGTTTTAGGTTTTTTACATACGATTTTATAGTTTTCTATATAGATTGGGCTGTCGGAAAAGTCATGATGTATTTTTTCTGTTTTTCGTTGCAAAAATGTGTCATGACTTTTCTGACAACCCACTAGTTTGTTTATTGTACATTGTTTTTACTCTTTTTTCCTTTTCCTTATTTTGCTGGCTTGATCAGGTTAGTTTTCATTCTTTTTCCTCACTATTACTTTTTTCTTGAAGTTTTTCACTCCATTTTCCTGCTTTCATAATTATGATACAGATTTCTCTCATTGTATTTGACAACAATGAAGACTTGTTGGTAAGTTTGGATCTGTAGGAAGACCTTCCTCTAAAACACACATGCACACACTGTATGCTCCTAATACATCTAGTCAGGAGCACAGCACCTAAGAGAAGCAGAGGACTACACAGAACTGGAGTAGATCAATATATCCATGTGGTTTCCCCAGTGTCTCTTGGTTCCTTAACCAGGCATGTATGCCATCTTGATATCTTACTGGAGCTGGGAAAGCACCCAAATCCTTGCTATGCCTCAAGTCTTTTATACTTGGGGTTTATTTCACCATTCCAGAAGAATTTAGATAAAAATTCATGCATTTTTAAAGGGAATACTGTTTATAAACACTGACTCAGTTCTCTTGGTTCTTAAACCATATTCAGCTCAAGGGAGACCAGTCCTTATCCAGTCAGAGAAACCAGAGTCTGTATCCTTGATTAGTATTCTAGCTCCTTCATCAGTGTCCTCAAAAGCCATTTCTCTGCCTGTATTTTTTTTAATATCTACAACTGTGTCATGAGAAGACCTAAAATGGGTGCTTCTGTGTATTCAATTCAGGGGTGATCACATTGTGAAAATGCATCTAGAATATATGTTACTTCAAGAAAAGCACAAGGGAGGGGATCGAGAGTCAAACGTAGGTCTAAATCTTGGTTCAACCAATTACAATTTTTTTGAACTTGGGCAAGTTACTTAACATTCCTGAGTCTCAGAGTCTGTCTGTGAAATGGGTAACTATTTCTGAACGCATTAGTTTGTTGCAAGAATTAAATGACTGAAATAATTAAAGCACTAGCACCATGCCTGACATGTAATAAGTGCTCAGTAAATTGTGGTTAATATTCCTAATATTTGGTGACATACTCATAGGTATGCCATCCCAGCGGAAAATAAAGCCAAAGACTGTGGGGCTGAAAAAAAACCCCAAAACAATAGAAGAGCAGTTTTCTTGGAGGAAAGGAATGCATATTTCCTGGTGATTATTATATATAGCCATGGGAGTTAGACTTTTCACTTAATGGAAACAAATTTAACCCTCATACTGGTCCTGAGAGGTGTACATATTACTTGCATATGAGGAAATAAAGCTCAAAGAGATTAAAGCCCATGGTAGGGTCTAGACTAGAGCTTAGATTGGTATGACTCCAAAATCCATACTCTGCCCCCACCCCATATCTTGCTCTGTTCTCTTAAGTTCATTTTATACCTGGGCAATGTATTGGGGAGGACCATGCTACAACATCTATTTTGGCCAAAGTGTCAGGTATTGAAACTGAGTTCTGACAAATGTGTACCTTTGTCACAAGGTCGATTGAAAGGTCATGTCTGTCTCAGTATAAATTCACTCAACCATCAGAAAGCAGTTTCAGTCTCATTCCCAGAGGAGAGGGGTGGCTTCCTTTGTGGATATAAAGGGCCACGTTTTATTTTTCTGCCTCTATTTGTGGACGCCAGCCCTCTGTGCCTGAATCCTTTGCGGATAATTGAGAGGAGCCCCAATGGAGCGCCTCAGAAGCAGACAGACTGTTAGCAGCTGTTGAGCGCTGAGAGGCAAACCTAGGGCCGTATGGCCTACTGAGGAGATCCAGGATGGGAGGAGCCATCAGGGTGAGCCTGCTCACAAAAGCTCGAATTTAGGTAAAGCTTAGAGGAACAAGGAGGGAGATGAAATTCAAGGAGGAGTGGGTGTAAACAGAAGCACCAGAGCCAAGAAGAGTTGAGACTTGAACAGCTAGGTTATTATGGAGCCAAGTCTGTGGAGACAGACTGCTTGGGTTTGAATCCCTGTGAAATGTGGGCAGTTTACTTAATCACTCTGTTTTAGGCCGGGTTCACTAGAAGCAGAGCCCAAGAAGGGGTTTCTTAGGTTAGTGATTTATTGTGAAAGTAGTTTCAGGAGAAACCTATACAGGGATGAGGAAAACATGCTGGTTTCAGAAGTTGAGCATCAGCCTGATCCCAGACAGAGTTCCGGAGCATGACTGTACTGCAGAAATTGTTCAGCCCAGGTGAAGGGGCAGGGCTGTTCTAACTGCACATCAGTCAGCCACTGAGAGCTGGGGGATCACTTCCCAGGAATTGCCAGGTGAGGGGACTCCCCTAAGCCAAGCTGAATCTGCCCGAACTGGCTGCAGTTGTAGGAATGGGTGCAGAGTCCTGGGAGAAAAGGGGGTCTGGTGTGTCACCAATGACATCTGCTACACTGAGCTTTAGATTCCTCATTTGTTAAGCAAACATGGGCATAATAGCACTTACCTTGTAGGACTGTAGTAAAAGAAAGAATGTATGTAAAAGCAGGGGTGGTAACTTTTCGGGACTGAAACTGGGAAGGTCCTGGGTGATTACCCAGATCCATATTATCTGAAGATTTGTTTTTATTCATTGGTATTTCTTGATACCTGCGTGATTGGGGTAGCTTAAGAGTAAAGAGTTGATAGGATCCGTGGCTTGAATGTTACAAGCAGGTGTATTGTTTCCTGTTGCTGCTATAGCAAGTCACTACAAACTTAGTGACTTGAAATAACACACATTTATCATTGTACACTTGCATATGTTTGACTCAGGTCTCAGTGGGCCAGAATCAAGGTGTGACCAGGACTACTTTCTGCCTGCTCTAGGGGACACTCTGTTCCTTTGCTTTTTCTAGCTTTTGGAGGCTGCCCTTATTCCTTGGCTCACAGCCCCTTCCTTCTTCAAAGCCAGCGATGACTGGTTGAATCTTCTCACGTTGCATCACTCTCACACACTCACTGTCCTGACTTCTTTTCCTCTATTGAAAGGGACCTTGTAATTACATTTGACCAACTTGGATAGTGCAGGCTAATGTCTCCATCTCAAGATCCTTAATTTAATCACATTTGAAAAGGCCCTTTTGCCACATCAGGTAACATTTCCACAGGTTCCAGGGATTAGGATATGGAAACCTTTTGGCGGGGAGCATTATTCTGGCAAACTTTTCCTGTAAAGGGCCAGATGGTAAATAATTTCGGCTCTGTGGGCCCTAAGGTCCCTGTGGCAACTAACTACTGAGCCCTCCACTGTCGTGACAGAACAGCCGTAGACATTATGTACATGAATAGGTGAGGCTGTGTTCCAATAAAACTTGAACTGTAGACACTGAAATTTGAACTTTGTATAATTTTCACAAGCCACAAAATGTTATGCTTCTTTTGACTTGCCCCACAACCATTGAAAAAGGTAAAATCCAGTCTTAATTTGAAGCCTGTACAAAAATAAGCAGCAGGTTGGATTTTGGCTTTGGGCTATATTGGTTTAGAGTATTTTCCCTCATAGCCTATTTAAGGGTTTAAGGAACAATATTCAAATGTTTGGAAGAATTTCTCCACCACACTTTGCTGGTTATCATATCTATTGCAAACCTTGACCTTGTGGTCTGTGCTACTTCTATTTGATGTTTGTTCCCCATGAGAAACACCCTCCCTTTAATTTTTCATGGAAATTACCGAAGGTGAAACGATGATGGTTGGTCTTGAAAACTTGTTCCTTTGTGGATGGTAAATGTTTGGAAACACAAGCACACTGGAAAGAATGCTCAATTTATCTGAGTTACTCAGAGAAAGTAATCTGTATCTTGACATTTCTATTTTTTTCTCCCATTAAACCAGAGTCACTCAGAATATTGTTAACATTTTATTGGAGCTGGCTAAATTGGTGAGAGTAAAGAGGTGGGTGAGAAAGAAATGTGTTGCATAGTAAAACAGAAATTATTATATGCAGGAGCACCTTGCTGGGGTTCGTTTGCCATCTCACAATATATTATGACTACGTCTCATTTATTGAATGTAATTTTCTCTTTAAAATATGGCACTTTTTCTTGCTATCATTATGCCTCTTGCTGAATGATAGCTGGCTGTAAAACACTCTTTTTTCCTTTTCTGTTTGTTAGGTGAAGGGGAAGAGGACTCTGGGAGAAAATATTGCCGATAATGGAGGTCTGCGGGAAGCGTTTAGGGTACGCACTGCAACATTTGCTGTGATTTTAAAAATTAAGCTCTAAAACACCGTATGGGTACACCTCAGTTTACACCACGGACACGGTCTTGAGGAGTTAGATTTCTGTAAATTTTGTGAATTTCTCTTAAGTAGCTTTATATTTTCCCATTGACTCTATTATACCTATTGTATGAATGGAGCTGCATTTCTTTCTTCCCTTTGGGGTAGAAAGTTACCCTAAAGAATAATGTTTGTTATTAAGAATCATGTATTTAAAGGATAGTTTTCAGAAGATACATTTACAGCGATATCAAAGCACGCTACGGAGTCTCCTTAGGGGCAAGTTCATATGAGTTTTCCTTGAGTACTCTCTCTCTAGTTCTCCTGTTGTGTTTTATGGCCAGAGGCCGGTGGTTCTCATATAGAGGGGCCAAGTAAGAGTCCATAATAATGTTTTCGTCATCCACTGGTCCGAGGTTAAACAGGAAACATAAGGATGATGTGGAAAGACTTTCATAAAGCTAAATGCATTCAATGTAAAGACCAGATTGTTATTCCGAGGTTATAGTTAAAATACATTTTATAAAATGATGGTGATTGCGGATGATAGTTTTCCCTCCTACTTGGCCAAATAAAAAAGTGGGACTATGTTGAACCCAAAATTGATTTCCACGGGCCCTGTTGTTGCGTTAGATTTGTTTGTTCCCTGGTAGGAATGGAACGAACATCTTTTTTGGTGGGGAGGGGTAGTTAGTTAACATTTGAACACTTTGGCTCAGCTGCTTTGTATGCATTGAGTGTGAGATCTTTTTGCAGGTAAACCTGCCTCACTGTTAAGCAATATGACATTGACTTGCATTTCTAGGTTTGTTTTCTTAAAGGAAAACTTGACAGGATGCATTTTGCACATGGTGCAGGCTATATGTAGTATCTTAGCACTGGATGAGAAAACAGGAAAGCCATCATTGCGGAGGATCATCTGTTCTGCTTCTCTCACTAGGCTTACAGGAAGTGGATAAATGACAAGAGGCAGGGAGCTGAGGAGCCTCTCCTACCAGGTATCACATTCACCAACAACCAGCTCTTCTTCCTGAGTTATGCTCACGTGAGTAGACCAAGGAGGCGGCATCACAGTTGAAATGTGGGTCTTGGGCTGGCTCCCCTCATCAAAGGTTTGGAACAAAAGTTTAATGCCCTAAGTTTTATTTTAGCTAAAATTGTAACTTGCTGCTTATTTTCAGGATAAAATTCACCCTTTTAATGTTCTGTGGGACATAGCTAATTGATAGGATCACGGTTGATTGGCATTTTTTTTATATATCAAGTGGGTTACCAACCCTGTGTTATCACTTGATAGTTTTAAATATATCCTGACTTCTAATGTATTTGATGCTATTTATAACCATGTCTAGTGACCCCTTCTTTGACTTTCATGGCCATGCCCTTTCCTGTATTTTTCTTTTTCCTTTGCCTCATTTGCTGACTTTATCCCACTACTCTCAACCTTTGGGAGACCCTCAAGGCTATGTTCCAAACTTTCAAATGAATATGTGAAGACTACTAGAGCTGAAGAAAACAAGTAAGGCAAGGGAAGTCATGCCACTCTTTTGTGAGTTTAATGGGGTCTCTAGCAGAAATTGAAAGAAGACGTGCACTAACAAAGGCACCATTCTGAGTCTGAGTCTCTGGCTAATGAGGCAAGTGCCAATTCTTGTTATTGATTATTGCACTGCTTTTTGTAAGAAATACTTAGGCCTCATTTTCAGAAAAGTCAGAGATGGATTGCCGAAGATTCTGATGCATGGCCTTACAGTGGGCAAATGTGTATCTGTATGCTCAAAACTAGGCAAAAGTTTTCACCAGTACAGCCTTTTGTTCCTAAGTCTTTGCATTCACTCCTCAGTAAGCTCATTCATTCCCATGTCTTCTTTGGTTGACTCTGGTTAAAGCACTCTCACCTGTCTGGGGTTTTTTATTTCTTAAAGCTGACATGACAACTCTCAATAAATTATCACTTATCAACATGACATCAACAAAACTGAAGTCATCAACGAAATGACTTTCCTTTTCAGTTTTCCCATTTCTCTTCACACCACTGTCCGTCTTACACGGCATTGAAATACCACGTTTATGTTATTACTGACATGCTGAAGAACTGCAGTGGCTCCCATGTACCTACCACATTGAGGCCAAACACTTCCAGCTGGCGTTTTAAAAAGTTCTCCTCAGTCTGATCCAACTCTACTCAACCAACTCTAAATCCCCAGAGACGCACCTCTAGAGGCACCCTTCGCTGGGCAGGTATCCTTACTTCCACCCCATGGTGTCATGCCCATGACTGTCTTTGTGGCTTTGCTTTTGATTTTCCTTCTATAATGTGACCCCATTTCTAATTCTCCCCCTCAGATTATTCATTCCCACATTTATCCTTGTTGAGTTCTACCTCCTCCACACCTTCCACAAACTTCCCCAAGGACTCCAGTTCTCATTTTTTAAAAAACATCTCCAATTCCTCTACACTTACCTTCATTACCATGCAATCGAGTACTTAACTGTTCCCAAAATGTTGAAGACTTTTAGTTTTATCTCCATAGCCAATCTTCTGGATTCTTACATTCTTACATTTCTGTCTCTCCATAGCACCCATCAGAGATGCTGGCTATATTGAAGATGCTTGACATTTTCAGATGAATTGCTTGAAAAGTATAAGACTAACAGTTCAATTAATGAGACTTTCTTTTGGGTCAGTACTGGGTCAGATATCTAAAGTAAGCACACACATACATAGAACTTTCTAGAGCAGGGCTTGGCAAACTAGGACCCATGGGCCCAATATGGCCTGTCTGTTTTTGTAAATACTGTTTTATTGGAAAACAACCAGCGCTTTCCTTCTCGTAGTGTCTGTGGCTGGTTTTGTGCTGTAATGGCAGAGTTGAGTAGTTGAAACAGAGACCTTACTGCCTGCAAAGCCTAAAATATTTATTATCTGGCCCTTTACAGAAAAAGTTTGCTGACCCCTACTCTAGAGGACAAAGTACAGCGTCTATCATCAGTTTTTACCAGGTTCTTATTTATTAGGTTGTCGGAAAAGTCATGATGTATTTTTTCTGTTTTTCGTTGCAAAAATGTGTCGTGACTTTTCCGACAACCCAGTACTTACTTAAGGTCCATCTTAGTTACAGCCTTGTCTACAATATCTCTTTGTAGATGAAGTAAACTAGCTGATAGCAACATTATAGTCATAATTTTGAAATGTCTCCAAATAAAATTCCAAACCATATTTGGTTTATTTTCAACTAAAGAGATTTAGGGAAAAATGGAAAGCTATTTTATATCATTAATGAGAAGTTTATCTTGGAACTTTTCCCACTGACAGAAGGAGGCGATTTTCAATCTTCTGGACATTGGAATAAGTCTGCTTATAGGGAGTAGTTATTTTCCCTCCTGAGAAGGTACTAGGAAAACAGTAAGACTCATAATATGTTTCCAGAAATCTCTTCAATGGTATATGAAGCAAAGACAATACTATACAATAATTTAAGAATATAAGAAAAAACATGAGAAAAAATGAGGTAAAATCAAATGCCAGAAACAACTTCACATTAGCTAGGCTTCTGAGGACATTAAAGAATCACATTATAAAAACATCTTCAAAGTCAAATTCAGAACCGCAGTGATGGATGGTTTATCTCCATCAGAAGCAATAACATCATATTGCCTTTCCTGCTTCCTAGATCTCTGTCGTTTCTGTGACCTGTCATTTTTTTCCTCAGATGTTCTTCTTATCCTTCTACTTCTCTCCATTCGCAGTTCTACTTATTTAGTGGACGTTCATTGGGAACCTTCCTGGGACCCATAAATAATCTTTTAACTAGTCTCTAATTTCCTTGTACTACTACGTGCCTCTACCAGATACATCTTTTTAAAATATGACTTGATCATTTTCCTGCTCAAAACAATGTTGAAATATCATTGAAACACTTTAGCCTGTTGCTCAGGACTTCAGAAACCTGCCACTGTTGCCCCTGGTCTCCCATTGCTGCCCGTATACACCACACAGTCCAGCCAAGCTGAATGTCTTGCTTTTTCTTCCCCTATCAAATAGGTCTCTGCTTCTATTTTCTCCTCCACTTGGATCTCCCCGCATCATATTCATGTGCCCTAGTTCTTTTCATACTTCAAGACTATGTCATATTTTAAGACATACTTCAAGTCAGGATTAAGTAGGTTATGGTGCAGGAACAGACTACACAAGGGAAGTTTATTTCTTGTTCATGCTGTATGTCCAACATGGGCCAGCAGTGGGTCTCTGCTCATAGTTTTTTCTTAAGGATCTGGGTTTTGGAGTCTTCATCTTGACATGTGCTTCCACGGTCACCACAGGAATAGGAAAGGAATATGAGGAAATGTGCACTGGACCTTAATGTAGCATCTTAAATTATTCTTAAGGCTCTTCAAACTTCTGCCAGGAAATGACGTATATCACTTCTCCTAGCATTTCATTGGTCAGAGCAAGATGGAGAAGTGTCTTCCCATCCAAGGCCTGTACTAGGGTGAGGGAAGAAAGGCACCCAGGGTGCAAAATACTATTCATGATTACTCAATAAAGGGTGGTCGATTCATTTTATTGATTCAAATGAGTATGGTTACGATTGACAAAGGCTATTCCAACCATTATATTAATTGAATTAAGACATTGGTTGATTCCTGGGCACATACACTATTCTCTTGATTTATAGCATTTGTCTGGAAACCTTCCCAATTTACTCAAGTTGTGGAATTATTTACAATGATAAAACCTTCTACTCTGGTGATTAAAATAATACATGTTACTACTGATGAAGGTTTTATCTGATCTACTAAACCTGTTTTTCATCCATTGAGTCTAAAATTACTCTTCAGTATGATTTGGAGCAGTTAAGACAGTAGAAAATGTGTCATTAGAATGAAAACATAATTATCGGGATGCTTTTCTCTTCCAGGTAAGGTGCAATTCCTACAGACCAGAAGCTGCCCGAGAACAAGTCCAAATTGGTGCTCACAGCCCCCCTGAGTTTAGGTAAATGGGCAGATGGGTGACACTTGTTTTCAACTGTGCATCTCCCCTCTTCCTCCCCTACCCAGCCATCCTAGTGCTTTACCAAATAGGTGAGCTGAACAAAAGCCTGTACTGTGAATAGTGATATCTCCATTTTGCAGGCAAAAAAAATCTGGCCAAACAGAAGCTAAGCATATTTTATTTCATTAGTAGGAAGCTGGTTTAGTTAGCATTCTCTCAGCTAAATTTCTGTAGTGGGCATTTGTACACACCTCTAGTCTAGTGCTGTATCAAGAGATCCATGAGATTTTACGAGATTCCCAAGGTCATTTGGACTCCAGGTCGTAGCTTTAGTATTAATTCCTGTTTATTATCTTCCAGTTTTTGGAAGGCAGCAATCCATGGGTGCCATGAGCACCTGGGCACTCAGTAAACTGGAATATTCGATTTATCCCAACCAGCTGCTTTTTTTGAATGGGCTAAAAAAGTCTCTTTTCTTAGACAAGGATGAGATCATGTACTGCATCTTGAAACACTTAGAACTCTGGTTTATTTTGTGTTATAGAATATTCTATTTAATGCCTCTTTTTCTTTTGTGGAACCAACCAACAGACATGAATGAGTGCCCACTTCCCGAATAGCTTTGAATACAAAGGAGGATATATGCTGATATTTAGCTATTATAATTCATATCTAGAGTCAAAAGCTCCACATTTTGGCTTTTAGCATGAATCTTATTTTGAAACAATTGCTTATATATAAAGGGAAAAGTATTATGAATTGCAATCTTATTTAATTGTCAGAATTCATAAAATATTAAGTAAAAATAAAATTAAGGCTAATACTACTTACTCTATGCTGGGTTTCTAGCATAGTTTGAAGGAAATTTTCTATAGTTGGGGACAGAGAATTATAATGGGAAATCCAGGAAACCATAATAATTTATGTTTATTCATTCTTTGCTTAGAACATATTATGTCTGGATATCTTTATATTTAATGTTTAAATGAATCCATTAGCATATTGCAGGAAAGTCATCTACAATGTCTCCTATATTTTAAAATCTTATTCCTAAAGCCTTGCTTTTGAAATGCTTCAGAAATTGACTATAAATTACCCAATAGCATAAAATCTAATCACTGTGTTAGAAATTCTCCCCCACTGGGCTGAACTGTCAAGAATGCTGACAGTATCTAATGGACTAAAATGTGCTCCTACTGACAAATGGTGCAGATGAAACCATGCAGTAGATTAATTACTCAACAGAAACGTTTTTAGAAACTAATTTCCTTTTACTAACTAGTTGCCTTTATTGTTGGATTTTAACTGATAATTTTCAGAGTATACTTTACTAATTATCAGCTTAATTCTAACTTGAACACTTGCCCTGTGTGAATCGCACCATGAAACATGCATCCCTACCCATACATCCCAGCTAAAATATAAGAGATTATGGGGGGTTTTTTGGATACAGGCCATTACATTCATTCAAATGCCCATAGGTAACCAAATCATTAGGGAAGAAATAGTCAGCGGCCAAGAATGCTGAGTCTCCAGTCAACCCTTTGACCATACAGTTGAGTAAGAAATAGATGAAGGGGGAGTTCTTGCTGGTTTGTTAGTGATGTCTGCAGTAACTGTAGATTTCGAGTGCAGCAGAAATCACACAATGGAAATACCATTTCCAAAAGGCAGTAACAATCAAAGTGCTGAGTAGGAATCTGCAGCCTTTACTGCAGTCAGGGAACTTGTAAGAATGCCAGATTTTGAAGCTAACTTCAGTAAAGCATTCCTCATCAATAACAACTAGACACCGTTCATCGGGTTATTGTTACACAAACCAAATTATAGATAAATATGAGCCTTCAAACCTAGTAGGAATTTAGAGAAAGTGTTTTTTGTAGATTGAGTTATTTAAAGATAGCGATAACAACAACATGGATGAATCTTACAGACATAATATTGAGTGAAAGAAATCAGAGACAAAAGAGCACCTACTGTGTGATTTAGTTCATATGATGTTCAAAAACAGGCAAAACTAATCTATAGCAATAGAGGGCAGAGCAGTGGTTATCCTTGGAGGCATTTCTGATAGGGGAACCAGCGAGCTTTCTAGGTATTGGAAATATGTCATGTCTTGTTCTGGGTGGTAGTAACATCAGTGTATTATCCACATGAAAAGAACTGATGGGCTTTCCATTTCAGATGTGTGTACTTTATATCAGCTATACCTTCTATTAAAAGTTAAATAAAAAAATAGAAAAGCTAAGTCTTGGTAAATCCTACAGCTTATAGAAATTTGTAAATTTATGGGAGTATACAAACCTATATACAATTTATTGGAATTGTTAATCCTACAGTTTACTGGAATTTGAAGATATTTGGAAGATTAGTGGGAGTGTTTGCCTGGCATTCAGGAGATATTGGTTCTAGTCTCAGCTCTGTTCATTTCTGAGTGTACTTACCCATTTGGGGCTTCAGTTGTCTCCCCTGTAAACAGATTAAATGAATGCAACATCCCTTCAAGCAACATGCTGCTACAGTTTCATGCAGAACCTTTTGATATGTAAGAATTAAATGACATGGGCTTTGACATATCTTTTTCAGGGTCAATGGTGCAATTAGCAACTTTGAAGAATTCCAGAAAGCTTTTAACTGTCCATCCAATTCCACGATGAACAGAGGCACAGACTCCTGCCGACTCTGGTAGCTGGACTGCTGGTTCATGCCATTCTGAGAGAGCTGTACAGTTCCAGTAGAGGCTGCACTGAGCACACGTCGCCTCCTGCGTTAGGCCTGTATTCCCATGAGGACTTGTATTTTTAACGCACCTTCATTATTTGGGTATTACTTGGATCTAAACAGTATCTACTCAAAGTCATAGAGCTTAAGAACAGAATACAAGAAGTGAACCAAGTATGTTTCTTTAGAAAATCAAATCAACAAAAATAAATCCCTGGGCTACTTTTGTTGAAAACGCTATCTGCTGACTTGTTGCAATTGTCCATTTTAGTGTGTAAGCCACAGCTAAGTGGTACATAGCATTTTAATCTACAGCTTTGCAGGGAGCCTAAGTAGAATGTATCCAGAAAAAAAATCAGTCTATTAAACTTTTAACCCTCAATGATGAGGCCATGTGCATGGATACCTGGGAGGTCTTACTGACTTGTGAAATGCAGCACTAGATTTTATGTATGGTCATTACGCAGCATTTAAAAACTCGAAGGTAGTTAAATTAGAAATATGTTGTATCTTTATTTTACAATTTTTGATGAAGTTTGTGCCTTTAGCTTTGGAATCTGCTGGGATGAAGATGTGCCTCACAGCTTGCATCTCATACAGCTGACTGCCCTGTTCAAGTCAGTTTGAACAAAGCTGGGAGAAAGGCTACTGGTGAAGGATTTGAGTTTGTCAAATAGAAAAAAAAGGGTGCATCGTTCAGTCCCAGAAGAAGTCAAAACTCCCAGCCATGCAACAGCAGGAATACCAGGAGATGAAATCTCCAAAATTTGACGTGGCCTGCCCAAACCTCAGTGATTATGTCTGTCTGCCAGCCACTTTTCTTTAGCCCAGTTCCCATTTGTCTTATTACCTTCATGCATGTGTGTTCTCTCATTTCTGAAATTAGTAGGCATCGAGGAGATGCTTTTCTAATTCCCCACTAGGAACAGGTGGCTGTCATTCCATTTTAGTGCGGAGGGCTGGACACTGCATTGAGGAGGGTACGGAGTCCCTTCTGTGTTGGCTCAGTTAATGTTACCTCTCTTTTAAAAAAACCATTTTAAAAAAAATGTCTGGATTGAAGACATTTTATAATCTATTGGTTAAATGTAAAATTCTCTGCATAGTCCAAAGAAACATAACTGTCCAAGTCTTCTTCTAAGGAGCCTGCAAGAAAGAGCAGTACTGTGTTTTTGATCCTCAGAGCTTTCTTCTTCCACGTGAACTCTGCTGTCTTTCAGTAGAGTGAGTGAGTGTGTGTGTGTGTGTGTGTGTG